CAAAGTCAGGATATCAGTTAAAAATGCTGGGTCTTTTTTTTTTACCTTCCCTTTTTCCATGTGTTCTCCTTTTCAGTTCACAGCATCAGGAACTGTGGTTCAATTAGATTTCACCTAATACACTGTATCTGAGACCAAGAGATTACTGAGTTCAGTCACCAAATGGTACAAATCCAAAAAAAAAAAAAAAAAGACATCAGTGGTATGTTTAACGTATACTGACTAATCCTATTCCTTGCATTCCTGGAGCCTACAGCAGGTACAGATATTTTAAAACATTAATTCTGAAAAAAAAATATTTACTGCTAGTTTCCTATTGTTTCCTGCCACATTATCATTGTTTACTGCAGCAATAATTATTGCTACAACATTGTATTGGGTAGAACAAGGCATAAGGGTAAATTCATTTTCTCAAGCAGACTGATGTAGATTACAACTAAAATATGTTGAATTTCACTAAATAATTAATGCAATGTTTTATATAATTATATATGCATGCTCCCAGAGTGTAATTGTTATAAAATTATGTCCTCTTCCTCACAGACCAATTAAAAGGTGCAGGTGCAATAATTCTGCTAACAAGACACCTTGGATCATATTTAGTAAGTTATTTCAAGGAATGTGTTAATGTCCTGCTGAAGATCAAAGCCCTTGGGAGCATGCCCCCTAGGTAGCTGCACAACTGGTTCTCATTATTTAGTTTGTATACCATCCAACATAGTGTCAAGATGTCAACTTGCTACCAGCATAATGTTAGAGTGTTATTATTTCCATGCATCTTCTGTCACTCGTGACTATAATGGGGCAAGATGTAAAAATTAGCAGCATTTTATGAGCAAATACAACATGCAGGTAATACTGCTGAGACTATAACCTAGATGGCATGATCCTATTGTCAGGATGAATGAGAAGTATATTCGATGGTAAAGCAGTGGGAGGCAGAAACACACACAAAATCCTGTTTTATATACTCTCACAAAACAAGCAAGCTCTACAGCTTTGTCATCCAGACAGGCATGCTATGCCTGCAAATGAAACCAAGTAAGGAAGAACAATGAAAGACAAAGTAAAATATTCTGAATATAACCAGGGGCAGACACAGTGAGGGTGCACTAGTGCAGTTCCACCCTCTTCCATAGGGGTGCCCGGTCAACAGCAGTGGCAAGTTCAAGTCCCTGCTCCCTCATGCTCTATTCTGTTCCCCCCCAAGGCTGGGGTGATTCCAGGTGAAAGAAGCACCTGCGTGGAGTGCTGCACAGGGCTGGGGAGGATGATCTCCCTTCCAGCACCTGCTATCAAACCATGGGAGGCAATGGGGAGTCAGGCAGTGATCAAAAGCACCTAGAAGCCAGAGGATCACCATCTGCCCCAGCCCTGTCCAGCACTCTGCACAGCTGCTTCCCGCAGCTGATGCCTCCAGGGCTCTGAAAGAAATGTGGTGGAGAGGAAGGGAGCAGGGACTTGACCCTGCCACTACTGTAGAGCTGCTCCCTGTAGCTCCAAACTAGAGTGGGCAGGAACCATCCTGGGGCTTTTCCTGCCCCCAGTTCAGCTGGAAACAGCAACAGCAGTGGGTTTCCAGGCATGCCTGTTCCCAGCCCACTGCCCAGGTAGCCCCCTCCCACCCCCGTCCTCTAGCAGGCACTGAAAAGGGATGCACCCCCTTGTCCCTCTGCCCCTGCTGCTGCTGGTCCCAGCCAGGCTGCCACCCCAGGATGACTCTAACAGACAGAAGCCTCAAGCTACAGCAGTCCTGGAGCTCCCCTGCAACAAAGCCAGCTAGAGACAGTGATAGCAACAGGCAGGTTCCCCTTTGTTGCACCCAGTGGCAACCCCTCTGCTACCCCTGCTTCAGCAGGTGAGAACATAATGGAAGGATAGGTGCTGGCACTTGAGGGGAAGGGGTGCCCAGAGAGGTGGGGGATGTGTCTTACCTGCTTAAGGAGCACCAAAAAGTCCCTGGCAGCTGCTGCTCTGGCGCCATCTGGCAAGGAAAGGGGAGGGGGAGGCACAGCCTCCCCTAGAACATGTGTGGTATGTCTGGCACCTGCCTTTTCAAATTCCTGGATCCGCCCATGACCAGAGGCAAACAAATAACCAAGTATCCTCAACGACAATCCTAGTCAGCAGGTGCCAACTTCACCAGCAGCATGTCTGCCCACCCTATAGCAGGTCATACAATCACAAATTAGCCTCCAGAACCAAAAAGACAGCCAATATCAATCACCACTGCCAACTAATGTTACAAGTATTGATATTTTTCTAGCAAAGCTTTATGTTTGTTTTAAAAAAACCCTGTGTTTTGTTTGTTTTGTCAACTGAAACGCTTTTTACTGTGGCCATAGGCGGATCTAGGATTTTGAAGATGGTGGGGCATATCATCACATATAGCACAACACATATTTTTCTTCAGTTAAAGAGAAACTAGAAGCTTTACTAATATGCCAGGGGCATAGCGCTATATTATTCAGTTTAAAATCATAGCAAAAATCCCTCTGCAATGATCTTCATGTGGTCATGGGAGATGGGCCAGGTACCAGAGAACTGGAAAGGGGCCAACGTTGTGCCCCCCTTTAAACGAGGAAAGAAAAAATATCCAGAGAACTATAGACCAGTTAACTTCACCTCATACCTGGGAAGTTACTAGAGCATATCCTAAAGAAGGCCATCTGCAAGCATCTGGAGGAGGAAGGGCTGACTGCAAGCAGCCAGCATGAATTTATGAAAAACAAATCATGTCAGACAAACCTGATCTCCTTCTCTGACAGAGTAACTACTCAGGTGGATGAAGGGGATCCTGCAGATACAGTGCATTTTGATTATAGCAAGGTTCCAAACGACCTTCTCATAAACAATTGGAGATACGTGAGCTAGATAAAACTATTACAAGGTGGATAGATAACGGACTCAATAGATGCAAACAAAGGGCAATTATTAATGGGGCCGTGTCAGACTGACAGAAGGTTTTGAGTGGAGTTCCACAGGAGTCTGTCCTCGACTCAGTGCTGTTCAATGTATTTATTAATGATTTGGATGCTGGCATAGAAAGCTTCTTGAGCAAGTCTGCAGATGACACAAACCTGGGAAGGATTGTGAACACACTGAAGGATGCAAGCATGATTCAGAAGGCTCTCAGCAGATTGGAAAATTGGTCTAAAACTAATAGGATGAAGCTCAGTACAAACAAATGAAAGGCACCATACCTCAGGAGGACTAATCAAAAGCATAAATACAAAATAGGGGACACAAAAAGCAACTGCATCCCTGCACCAGCTGGATCCACCCCCTATTGTGGCGGAAGCCTTCCAATTTTCAGTGAAGAAAACAAACTGAAAACTAAACAAAGTAATTCTATAACTTGTTTTCATTTTTTTTTTAAATAAAAATGTTGGGATGCTACTTTGCCAGGAAAAGTAAGAAGTGACAAATTTCAAACAAAAAAGGTTTAAACTTAAATTTTATAGAAAAATAAAAATGGGTATTTTTTTACCAGCTCCATTACTACCATATGGTTATGTTGCCCTCTTGTGGTTCTTATCTACAGAAACATTAAGCAGTAGTTATAGCAGCCGTAGCAACAGTAGCTTGATATTGCCCACAAGTGCTAGGCGCTATCTACGTACAACAGAGCTATTTTCAAACATAGCCACTTCATTTAGCCACCAAAATCCATATGTAAGCTTTTACTTAAAAGTAGCCTATTTACAGAGATGCTGGACACCTGCATATCATATAGGCTTTAACTGAACATCTCTGAACAATCAGGCATTTTAGATAGATGTCTATACATGATTTTAGGTGCCTACTTTAGATGGCTATGTTGAAACATTTCCTTCAACATCCCAGTCTTGAAGAGCTCTCAGGTCAGAGAAGTGTAAGTTCATAGCTAAATTACACAAAAATGCAGGCTTCTCTTCAAAAATCTTTCATTAAAATGCTATATTTCAAAGAACATTTTTTTAAAATTAAACTGCTGGTATGAAGTTTTGTGATTTCTATGCATAGAATTTAATTCTGCTCCTACATATCCAAATCAGAATTCAAAATAGGAGACAGTTAAAAATTTAACTCTCTAACAATATTAAATATAATGTGTTGCTCAGTGTTACTGGTAACATCATGGATAAACAACAGATTAAACTGAGAATATAATTATGACAATGCTTATCATGTACAACTAGTGTTAGCTTAAAGAGGTCACTTTACTGACTTCTATAAAACCACTGCTTTTTTGATTTGTCAATGTTTAAAATCTGTTTTCTAAAGGTATTGCAACTTTTATGTATTCATTTACTTATTTTTAAATGATTCCTAAGAAAACAAGAACAATATTATGAAAATTTGTGGGATTTAACTGAAATGAAAAGATGTTACACTGTAAATTCATCTCAACACACAATTACTGAACTAAAAGTAAGCCAACAAAACTAATGTAGGAAGATGCAGACAAGTCTGTTGCTCATTTCTTCAAATAGTGGATTAAAAAAAAAGAAACAAACTCTTGTGTCTACATTTAAAATGTAGATTTTACTTTCCTAACCTCCATTCTAATATGCCTGCCAAACCTTCTGTTTGAGCTGTTAGATTCTACCACATATAATCATTTTTTTCCTTTAATATAAATATTTCCTTAACATTAGGCAAGTGATGTGAAAGAACATGACAATCCTAAAATGTAATGCTTGCTGGATTATTAACTGTATGTATAAACCTGTTACCTGGATGTCAACATAAACCAGTATGAATATTTACCTAGTATGCCATTTCCACCCACAATATTTCCAAGAGTTCAAAAGCAATTTCCACAAGCATTTGGTTGTAATACAGCATCTAGTCAGATCCAATTTTTACCCTAACATTGTATCAGCATCTCCATGACAAATTCCTCATTTTCACCTGTCAGTAGTAAATACAGATGGAAGGTAAGAGTGAGCCCAATGTAAACATGTAAGTTTGTGTGTGTTAAAAAAGACCATTAACTGTACTTGCTATTCCCATACCTTTTGTTCTACCTTCAGAAACTGGGCAAATTCTTCAACAGTGAGATGATGCTTCTTGTCACTGTAGCTCAAAAGCAACAAGTAGAGATCACGCCGTAACGACATCATCTTGTAAAATACAGAAAACTCTTCAAATGTCAGGGTCCCCTGGTTCTCATCTGTGTCAGCTTCCTGAGAAACAAGAATACCCAGTTGAAGGAACAAAGCAGAATAGAGCATGTGTATAAGAAAAGATGCTTCATATGGTTCTAGCTATAATACAATCAGCAGTTCTAGCAAGCACCTCCTAATGCAAAAAGAATTCTTACGGGACTCCTAAATAGAAATTCAGTTGTTCCAAAAACAACAAGCTGTCCATGAAGGGACCAATTTTGTTTCTGGTTTCCATTTTATTTATCTTGTGAGTAGAGTTCATGTTGGGCCAGATTCTAATTTAGTGGCACCAGTGAAAAGCCAGAATAACTACTGATACAATGCAGTAAATTCCAATTACAACAGTACAAGCAATAGAAAAAATCTCACTCAGTAATGTTATCCAGGGGCAGATTTTAGAATTTTTAAATAAACCAGTACAATATTACAATGCTAAATATATATTAACATGATAAAATGCCACAAGCATTTAATCCCATTTCCAACAGCCTGTAGATTCAGGGACAAGTCTGAAGTAACAGCATGATTCAGTGCAGAAAAATAACTCCACCAACCCAGCCCTTTTTCTGTTTTAGTTTGCCCTCAGAGCTACTGCTAGAGAAGAAAACAGCGCTTACTCGTCTGTTATAACTGTTTGTACTTGGTGCAGCTGCCTAAGAGGATTGCTTTGGATTTACAAAATATTTGACAGTAGTTCTCCAATATATATTCTCTTTTATGCCATTATCTGCAGTAACCCAGTCAAGAAAGACTTCTTCTCCTGTTGAGTTTTAGATTATAAGCAGCTCAGAAAAAAAAAGTGAAAGGAAGGTTTAATAGCATGGATAGTTTTGGTGGACTCTGTGCTTCCATGAATAGCATCATTCATTCCCAGAGACATAGGCGACTGGTAGAGGGGTATGGGGGGGGGGCACATGCTCCCCCTGACAGAGCCATCCCCACCACTGATGCCACCACTGGCATCTGCAGATGCTCGCCAGCTCAGTCCCCAGTGCCAACACCACCAACGGCATCTGTGGATGCTCAACAGCTCAACTCCTGCCACCAACTTCTGCGGGTGCCCCCGCCCAGAATCAGGAGCCACCAGTCACACATGCCCAGAGGTACATATTCTTTCCCTTTATAACCTTTCTTTTACATTTCACTTCAAGATTTGCAAATGCAGGTGCTAATATTCATGTGGAGTCCCATGAAAGACTGTCCATCCTTAATTTCTCTGGACAGAAACTCTTATCAACATTGATTTGACCAGAATCCCCTTGATTCTAGCTGTCTCTGTACAGCAGTTCATCAGATAAAAAGGAAGTCATGCTGGAGGGCTCAGCTATATCTCCAAAACCTCATGAGCCCACTGTGTCATGGTCCACATTCTTTTAACTTGTACATCAACTTTTTCTGCCTGCACCTGATCTCATGCTTCCCAGAACGGAACACCTTGTCTACAAGACACAAAAAGCCACTCACCAGTGGTCCAGTTTCACTTTACCTTTAAGTAACACATTCAATTTAACATTGCTTTAAACATATTTTGGATCATTATTCTTTACATAAGTAAATACCAATATAAAAACAGATTCATTTCATAGCTCTACATGCTTTACTTCTCCATCTTTATATCTGGATGCTCCTTTACTGCAGCATATACTCCTCATATTCAGGGGTGTCCTTTTTCACACACATGTAGTATTTCTTGGATTCTGGGTAGCAGGCATCTGTCTGACACAGTTTTAGAGATCAGAGTCTGTGTAATCATAACAGCGGGGCAGATCCTCAGCTGAGTCAAGCATAAACAGTGAACAGATGGCACAAAGCTACCTCTGCCAGGAGGAATCCTTTAAAACAATGCCCTGGCAGCTTTGCTAAGTAGCCAGATCCAGAACTAAGAATCTGGCCCACTACATCTCTGTCCTATCCTTTACCGTGCCCAAAGAACTGGTGATTCTGGAAGGCCATTGGGCCACTTCTCTAAGAGAAGATTACTTGAAAAATAAAGGCTTTGGGATTGGGTTTCAACAGCCACTAGCACTAAGATAATCTTTCAGCACTTCAGTTTTCTTTCCAAGGTGTGTCTTTAAGCATCTCTTCAAGGCCTATAATATGAACTCAGATACAGGCTGGCAGCAACAACAGAATTAAAACGCAGTTTGTTTTTGCCAAATTGAAATAATAACTGCTTCTGGTTATAAAAAAGCTTGTGCCTGTTAATAAGAGCATGTTCCATCCCTAGGTATTTCTTTTAATTTTAAAGGCAAACTAAAAAGATTTCTCCCTGTCAATGCATGACTTCGTAATCCTCTATTTCTCCTGCAGCAGCTGGCAAGAACAGTAACACCTCAGCTCTGCAGAGAGCTTCATTTCATTACACCATGTTAAAAGTTAGTGCTGCTGTCAGCGGAGTACCTAAATTCAGATTGCAGCAGTTAAGCAGAGAAGGAAACAATTTTCAACTACTTGGTATTAAAGAGAACTTGTTTTTTTTTAATTTAAAATTCTACCTCTACTTCAAAAGAGGCTTATGATTTGTGGATGCTGTTTAGCCTAAATTTATCTATGCATTGGCATCAGCTACCTCAGAAGCATCCCAGATTTCTCACACCCATAAACTGTACTCCTTCCTCTGACCTTCTTCCTCCTTATTTATTCGGTCCAATAAACGATATCCGATTCACCCAAAGAACCTTGTTTGCCTATGACCTTAGACAGACATGGCTATAACCTATACCCCTGCTTCCTCTGAGGGATTTGCCACTATAATGCTGATCTTACCCAAGAAGGCCACACACATTTTTGTCTATAGGTGGTTCTGAGATTTTAAACAAACCTCCCTTTTGTGCAGTTGTCTAGATTTTTGTGCAAAAAAATGTACTTTTAAAAATTTTTGTCTGATTCATGTTATACCTAATACAGTTAATTTCTCATTTACTTGCAAGAGTGTAAATAGTAACAGTGGCTAAAACTGGTACACATTCTCTGAGATTATACCAAAGAAATGAAAAAATAACCTTGATCATTTCTGTGAAATGCATGGATATTTCTGCAAAACTCTTTCCTTTCAAAACTAATTTTTGTTCAAATATTTTTCTAAAAATATATTCAAAATTTCAATCAGCTCTGCTAAATAAGTAGCTCCATTCTGCATATACACCAACATAAAAGCAGAATTAAGTCCAGTATAATGAGAACAGTTGTGTGTCCACAAATCTTCCTCCTTTATATGCTATGAGTGCTGTGACTCTCACCATGATGCATGATCTGAAATTGAAAGTGGCACAGAGCAGGCAACCTACACCAAGAGAAATATTGTGGGTGAGTGGAGGTGATGGAGGACTTGAAGGCCCAACTCCTGGCTTCTATATCTTGTTCTGCTATGGATAGGCCTCATCACCCTTTGTCCACTAGTGTCTAGTGAGTTCACTGTGCTGCCTTGGAACAAATTATTCATCTCTCTGTGCCTCATTTTCTCCATCTGTATTTACCAGCCTCAGAAGGACATGTATGAGACCACATCTAGATCTTGACCTTTATATGAAGTGGGCCTCTACAGAATGTATGTGGTAACATGAACATCTTGGACCTTGTTTCTCATGCAAGCAAAATCTACAGTGGCTCCTTAATCAGCACAGGTTGAGAGCAACCTGCTCCAACCATTAGACTGGAGCAAATTAACCCTTCTTTGCTACAGTTCCAACTCTTCTCCCCTTTTTCATCATACTAGGATTTAATCTTGCTCTAAATGAAAAGCTGTTTTTTGTGTAAGTTATACAGGATGGGGTTGAGGTGGGGTGATAACAGAAAATCTAAATAAAGGTTTGTTTCTGTTCCCCCTACTCACATTGGGAAGTACTTTCCTTCAGAATTAGTACCATTAATCTCAAATTGAACTATTCATGGAATAAGGTATTGATAAATATGAATAAAGCTAAAAGAACTGAGCCTTAAGTGACCTGTGGTAATTTTGTAAAGTAGCCAAAATAACTGGACTTTTCTAGCCACACTTTTCTAGTAGCACATAATTAATCAGGCACTGAAATACCTTACTTTGGGCCTTTTACCTAATGTCGCCAAACTAGCTATCATCAATAGTTAAAATCACCAGGCATCATGTCCTCTCCTCTGCTTCACCTATATAAAATCAATTAAATGCAACTGTTTTCTTAGTAACCTTTAAAAATTACTGACCCTTGTCAGTAACCTGCACATCACCTCTGGGACCACAATATATATTTATAAACACAATACTGAAAATAAAAGCCTAACCTGAAACATCTGTCGTACTTTTCTGCGAGGCAGATTGACATTTAGTTTATGCATCAACTGGTGGATCTCTTCAATATTCAATAAACCATCTCCATTCTTGTCAGCTTCCTCAAAGGTCTGCTTCACCCAAGTACAAATATGTTAAGGAAAGGTTGAACTACTTATACTGAATGTCTTCATCACAGATGAGGAAGGTAGTGTGTTCTAGCAGAATAAATACTGGAATGGGACTCAGGAAACCTATTCTCAGCTGTGCCAGTGGCCTGCTAGATGGCCTTGGAGAAGGTAGTTCTACTCTTTTTTCTCAGTCTCTATGTCTGTGGAATGGAGATTCTGATACATATACTGTTTGACATCCACTGTTGAAAAGCACCATAGAAGAGTGACATTGCAATGGCAAACTTGGCATCCTTACCAAAGATAATTTGTGCCAGCCTATTCCACAATATGACTGGCAGAATGTTTTCATCAAGACTGTCCCAAAATGGCCCATAATTTCTATCAAGTCTGTGACCACCTCCACACTGAGACAAATTGATCTCTCATATAGCTTCACTGAACCATTCCTCCAGATGGTGATCTCAGAGCAGTTTTATCTTAATGTAAACTCGGGTTCCTGATTTCAGTGGAGCTGAGGGACATTTGGCTTGGGATGTGTACTTGCAGACTTCTTGCTCAACAGGCCTCTGCATCAAGTTCAAAATGTATCTAGTGCTACAGCATGGAATAAAATTGACATTATGACACTAGTCTAGCCGGATGACTAAAGTCGATGATTTCAGGAAGATCTTTAATTAAAAATTAATTAGTTAGAATTAATGGTTGTTTTTTCTGTCCTCTCTGGTCTCCAAATTTCACCCAATTTCATGCAGCTGTTATTTTACCATATATTTTTAATTTTTCCTTTTGCTGATCATTTCTCCCCTTCTCAATCCTTACTTTCTTAACATTATTGCATCATCTCACTACATCATTCTCCATTCACATCCTCTTTTACCCCTAGACAGTTCTCTTCTGTTCCTATTCCCAACCTTGCCTCCCCAGCCCTTCCTATACTCACCGTACTTTGACCCTCTGTGTCAGTCACAGGAGGGGATTAGGCTATGCTATCATATATCTGCATACAACATATGTGAACTGCAGAGTTCAGGGAGTAATAGTGATCCCTGACACAGTCTCTGTCTCACTTCTCTAGGTGAGATATTCCTACACAGCCTCAGGCCAACCTGGCACATTCTAAACATTAGGGAGGGGAAAACACTCTGGTTTAATAGATGCATTCAGAAAGTGCAATTCCAAACCTCCTAAGGTCTATAGAAAGTGCCCTTCTGAAAACCTAAGCAGTCTCCAGGATGAGGACACCCTTAATGGCGGTATCTTAAAAGAAGCAAAATCTGTTTGCAGTAGGGAAATGTACATTCTCTGCTTCTGGACGCAGGTTCTCTTGTGGGGTTCCCAAACACAGCAGAACTCCCCCATATCCCCTCTTGAGTACTGATTTCAATAGGTGTTGGTCCACTTGAATCACTTCAGTCATCCCAGTAGTGTAATATGACAGCTGTTCTGTAGCTCTAGGTAAGAATGCTCCCAGAAAGAAAACTAAATAAACTATATTATTCTAGTAACTGAAAATGGCTCTTCATAATTAAGTCATGATCTTCAAAGAAAACATTAAATAATGCATAAATGATAATACAGGATAATTTAATAAAAGAAAGGGTTTCTATATTTAAATGCAAGAGATAGGCAAGGACTTTGTAAAATGAGAGGCTCTGTTGTAATGCCTAGAAGCTTTAGGAGAGCATTAAAAAATCATGAATAGAGCTGAAGGAATGGGGAAAGATTCAGAGTTCAGCCTTATAAACCTTATTCAGGCAAGATTCCTACTGAAGACAAGATAACGAGTCTTTACATTATTAAGGAACTTGTGACTGGCCATTTAGAGCAGGGGTGTCAAAATCATTTAGCCCCACAGGTGAGATGCGAGGCATGGACAAGCCAGATGAACCTCCAAATGGGGCCCACAGATCATCTCCCCACATGCTGGATTCAGTGCCTGTGGTGCTTGCTCCAGCTGGCCCAGGACTGGACCATATATGGCACCCATTGTAGCTGGATTGGGATACAACCCACACATGGTGCTCACTCTGGCTCATCTGGGGCTGATGTTGCATGAAGCATATGTCCCGGACTGGCCGCAGCGGGCACCAGATTTGGCACAGTCCCAGAACAGTCAGAGCAGGCATTGGATCCAGTATGCAGAAGAACCATGGAGTCCCCTCCCTCTTTTCCCCAATATGCCAGATCCAGCACTTGTTCTGATGAGTCCAGAATTGCACTGCACACTGCAACCATTCAGGGAAGTGTACTGCATGTGGCACCTATCCCAGAACAGCAGAAGCAGGTGCCAAACATGGCTCAGTTTCCAGACCAGCAAAAGCAGATACCACATATAGTGTAGTCCCAGACCAGCCAGAACAGGCTCTGGATTGAGAATGTGGGAGGATCCTTAGACTGGTCCTGCACAGGTCCAGCACTAAGGGCCAGATGATGTGGCTCCATGGGCCAGATTCAGCCCATGGGCCATATCATTGATGCATCTGCTTTAGAACAAAATACCCAACACTAGACTGAAGCCAAGAAAATGCATTTTACTTAAAGTCCTCTACTGGGGGATGGCGCTCAGTCACCAATGAAACTGTTCTGTGGCCTTTCGTTCCACATCTCCCACAGATGTTAGCCAGGAAGCTTCTGTAACAGGTCCATGGTCCCAGGAGTGGTCATGCTGACCCCTGGAGGCCATGCAGCCCCTGCCTGGCTCAGGCTCAGCTGTAGCCCTTCCCTTGAAGCTCTCCTGCCATGCCTTGCTCTTAATGAAGGTTATAAAAAGAGAGGCTGCCTGTGGGTTCTGAGTGAGCCTGAGCCTTTGGCAATCCCCACTGGGCCTCTCCTGTGCCCCAGGCCAGCAGGCCCTCTCAGCCTGTCTGTACCCCTGCTGACCACCCGTTCACCTTAAGGGCTCCATACATCACTCCATACCTCCTGTACACCATGCCCTAAGTCTTGCTGGCTTTCTCTCTTGGTAATGTTGACAAATTATGCACTCAGCCCCCTTGGGCCTTTGGACCCCTGTGGTCCCTTACACAATCCCTTCCTGGGCTCCCGGACCTCTGGCCCTGTACACCACCCCTTCTCTTGGCTTCTGGACCCTTGGTCCTGCATGATGCCCCATCTCTGGGTTCCCAGACCCTTGGTCCAACTCGCAGCCCTTCTCTGGGTTCAGGGACCCTCTGGTCCAGGCACAAGGACCCTCTGTGGACTCATAATATAACCAAGGCCACTTGCCTGTAAAACTCAGTCTCTCTCAGCCCAAGGGCCATGCCTCTGCTCCCAGGCCTGCAGTGTAAGCTCCAGTCCTTTCAGGAGCCCTGCTGCCCAGTGCTCCTCACACTGTGGCTGCCAGGATGAGACTGCCTGACTGGCTCGGGCTCTGGAATGATATAGCTCCAGCCCCTTCCAGCCAGGTGGGTCTCTCCTTAGCCCTCCGCACCACCTGCAAGCAGCTTTCCAGGCTGTTAACTCACTTAAAGGAGCAGACACACTCCAGTGCCCTGCTACAGCCTTGTAACTGAAACCTCAATCTTAGCTTGTTTATACAAAATAAAAGACAAAGATAGAAGAAATTATTTGCAATCAAAATTTAACTTGAAACTTCTCTAAAGGAAATCTTCACTGTGCTCAAAGAAAACCTGCCCAACAACTTTACAAGATGGGCTTGGGATGAGGAATTCATTAGCCAATTGGACACTAAGTATCAGGGACTGAACCTAGACAATGACTTCATAGATTCATAGATTAAGGGTCGGAAGGGACCTAGCAGATCTTCTAGCTCGACCCCCCACCAGGGCGGGAGAACAACAAAAAAAACCCCAAAAAGAGAAACGGGACTCAAATGAGTCCAGCCAGGTAGGCATCCAGCCTCTTCTTAAAGACCCCCAGGGTAGGGGCCAGCACCACTTCCCTTGGAAGTTGGTTCCAGCTCCTAGCCGCCCTAACT